GGACCTTGGTAGTCAACCTCAGGAGGAGGAAATAGCCAAATAAGGGAATAGATGCTGAGGGCTAGCTTTAGGAATGAAATCTAATGGTTTTTAACAAGGCAGAGGGAAGAGGGGAGAAGGGCAAGGCCTACCAGAGCCACATTTGCCTTTCTGAGGCTGGCTAGAATTCCTTCAGTTTCTATAACAGTTGTACTGTATTCATAATTTTCTCCTTGCATTTTCTCAAATGCTTGGCAAATAATTTAAGGGGGCTGGAAAGATGACTCAGTAGGTAAAGGCACCTGCCACCAAGTCTGAGGACCTGAGTTTGATCCCTGGGACCTACACAATAAAAGAAGAGAACGGACCAAGAAGTTGTCCTCTGACCTGTACATGTGCATACACAAAACAAACAAAGTATTAACCAACTTATGGGAGGAAATATTGACTTTGGATCTTTTTAGGGGATACTGGTCATCATGGTGGAGAAGGCAGCGTAACTCAAAGCAGAATAACTCATCTGAATGTGAGGTGATTGAGTACATTGTATCATCAATCAGAAATCACAGAGGTGGGACTGGAACAAGGTCCTCTGCCAGTCAGTCCTCTTCCTTCATCTAGGCCTTGCCTCTTAAAGGCTCCACAACCTCAACATATCACTACTGGATGCAGATCAAGTGTTCAAACGTGGGAGCCCGTTGGAAATTTCATACTCATAGTGTAACATGTACCATTTATCCCTACCAACTCTTCTCTGCATCTTTGCTAATACTTGTTACTCCCTGTTTTTTTTTTAATTTAGATTTTTTTTATGTCTTTCAGTTATTTGCCTGCGTGTATGTATGTGCCAAGTACTTGCAGAGCTCAGAAGAAGGCATAAGATTCTCTGGAACTGGAATTAGGGATGATTGTAAGATACCATATAGATAGATGCTGAGAGTTGAATCCAAATCCTCTGCAAGAGCAAAAAATGTTATTTAACTAGTAAGCCATCTCTGCAGTACCCTATTTGATTTTGATCATAGCTATCCTGATAGTTAGAAGGTTCTAGCATAGAATTTTGAATGTGATAAAGATGAATAGATGGGTAGTTAGATGCATGGATGGGTGGACAGATGATGGATGGTGTGTGAATGAGTAGAGAAATAGTTGAATGATTGGACAAATGAATGGATGGTGTATGAATGGTAAGCAGGTAGTTGGCTGAATGAATGAATGGGTGGTTGGATGCACAGATGGATAGGTGGGTAGATGGGTGGTTGGCTGGATGGTTGGATGAATGGATAGATAGGTAGATGGACGGTTGACTGGATGAATGGATGGGTGGCTATATGCATGGTTTGTTGTAGAATATTATTTAAAGATGTGTTACATTTATTTATACTGTGGAATATTTTAATGATCCAAAGATATGTTACATTCTTTTGTGCTGCATTTGTTTAACTTTGTGAAGCTGTGTTACCTTACCTGTCTAAAACACCTGATTAGTTTAATAAAGAGCTGGATGGCCAGTAGCTGGGTAGGAGAAAGGATCAGCATGACTGGCAGGCAGAGAAAATAAATAGGAGAAATATGGAAAGAGAAAGAGAGAGGGGGGGATAAGAAAAGGAGGAAAGGAGGACACAAGGGGCCAGCCACCCAGCTATACAACCAGCCACAGAGTAAGAAGTAAAGAAAGGTATAAAGAATAAAAAGAAAGATAAAAGCCTAGAGGCAAAGGTAGTTAGGATAATTTCAGAAAAACTGGCTAGAAATAAGCAAAGCTATGGCTGGGCATTTATAAGAAAGAATAAGCCTCTGTCTGTATGATTTATTTGGGAGCTGGGTGTCGCCCCCCCCCCAAAAATAAAAAACCAAAAGAATAAGAGTAGAAAACAATCAGCTACAGTGATTGGATGGATGGATGGATGGATGGATGGATGGATGGATGGATGGATGACAGCAATGTCTGTTTATTAAAGCAAGATTCCTTGTAGTGGTTTAAATGAGGATGACCCCATAGGGTCATATGTTTGAATGGTTGGTCCCCAGTTAGTGGGACTGTTTGGGAAAGATTAGTAATGTGACCTTGTTGGGGTTGGTGTGACCTTGTTGGTGTTACTGGGGATGTGCTTTCAAATAAAAAAAAAAAACTAACCCCAGGCCCAGTGTCTCTCTCTCTCTCTGCCTGCTGCTTACAGATCAGGATATAAAGCTTGCAGCTACTGCTCCAGCACCATGCCTATCTTGCTTCTCACCATGATTATAGTGTACTGACTTTTAAAACTGTAAGCAAGCTGGATGGTGGTGGTGCACACCTTTAATCCAAGCACCCAGGAGGCAGAGGCAGGTGGATCTCTGTGAGGTTGAGGCCAGCCTGGTCTACAAGAGCTAGTTCCAGGACAGACTCCAAAGCCACAGAGAAACCCTATCTTAAAAACAAACAAAAACCAAAAACCAAAACCAAAAACTGTAAGCAAGCTCCCAGTTAAATGGTTTTTTTTTCTCTTTTAAATAAGAGTTGGTTTGGTCATGGTGTCTCTTCACAGCATTGGAATAGTAACTAAGACACACCTCTTTACAGAAACTCTGGTTGTTGGAATGTGCATTAGGAAATAATGGAGTATTTCTTTTAAGATACTCTATAAAAATTTTCCCTATTTGTTTTAATTAGCAGGATATTTAAATTCTCTCTCTCTCTCTCTCTCTCTCTCTCTCTCTCTCTCTCTCTCTCTCTCTGTGTGTGTGTGTGTGTGTGTTTGCTGGTATGTGTGTGAATGAGTGAATACTTGCTTGTGGAGGCCAGAAGTGAATGCTGAGTTTCACTCTCCATCTTGTTTTTTGAGACAGGGTCTCTAATTGAACCTGGACTTTATCATTTGGCTAGACTAGCTAGTCATTGGGCTTCAGGGATGTGCCTGTCTTGGTCTTTGCCCCTCCTAGTACTGGTGTTACAGATGTGTGCCATCACACCCAGTTTTTATGCAGGTTCTGGGGATTTGAACTGAGATCCTCATACTTGTGCAGCATGTGCTTTACCAACTAAGGCATCTCACCAGCCCCTAGAGTTTTGATGTAACAGAGCTCCTCCGATAAGTCCTTAGCAGCATGGATGCCCGGTGTCGAGGCTCAGGTAGTGAACTGGTGGCTATGCTTTGGGTTGATGTTTAGGGCACAGCTCACCTTATGGAATCTTGGAAATGTAAATACTACCCTGTTGACAGAGCTTTAGCTAAAGCCATCTCTTGAACACACACACACACACACACACACACACACACACACACACACACACAGAGAGAGAGAGAGAGAGAGAGAGAGAGAGAGAGAGAGAGAGAGAGAGAGCTGCTTGTCTTTAAGGTGCTGAAAGCTATGGCTGTGGCCAGCACAGGGCATCTTGTTACATCAGCATCCCAGTGTCTCCTCTCCCCGATCCTTTTCTAGCCAGTACACCAGAATGACTCATAGAGTTCAGGACTAGTCAGTGCTGAAGTGGAAGCTCCAAGAGCTTAAGTTTAATTCTAAAACACTTTGATCTCTATCCCTGTGACCTTGCAGCTTCTCTATAGATCAACCACCTTCCAATAAGACAGAATGGTCAACCTCATCTCCCATGCTTAGCATGCAGATTTGATGTGGTAACTATTAGGCTGTTCCCCAGAGGTGAGTCCACATGGCTTCTTACTGCTGACATGTTAAAATGAGGACTCTGGAAACCAGAAAGCAGAGGGGGAAGAAAACTGGTACTGAGTAGTGGGGCTGTTTTTGTGATAAACTCCGGTCCTCTTATCTTTGCAAGGCAAGCACTTTGCCATCTCCCCTGATCTCACTCTTGACACTGTCTATTTTTGCCCCCTTCTTTTCAGATAGATCTCTGTCCTGGTGCCCCAGGCAGGCGATTCTTGGCTGTCGAATGCATGGAAGATTGAATACACTATTTTTATGTAAATGTGTTTTTATTATCCAAGCAAGAGAAAGCATTACAGGAAATCTGGAAGGGAGAGGGTAAAAAATGACCCATCAGCTTTCCAGGCACAGCTGTGGTCACAGTGTGCCCTCCCTGCTGCTCCTTTTTTTCTGCAGGACCAGGAAATGTGGGCTTCTGCTTTTCTTTAGCAGAAGAAACCACCCCATCCCAGGGCATTAACTCTGGCTGTACTGGGCTTAGAGCTAACGTATTTCAATGTGATAGAATGCTTCGAGGTAGAGTCATGGCTGAGGAATGGAGGCTCATGACAGATAGGCTATACCACAGGTCATTCAAAAGATAAGTTGTGCATAGCCAGCAGTCATTAGGACCAGGATACAAAGTCTGTGTCTGGGTCCCAGCTTTAAGTTACTATCGAGTCACCATAAGAAAATGAACATTTCCCTAAAGGACCAGATTGACCCACTCCCATGCAGTGTTCCAGAGGACTGAGACCATCAGGGGCTGAACCTCATGAAATGTTCTTCGTGCTCTAAATCCCATCCCCGGCACCATGGCCTCCTTCGTCGTCATGTTCTCAGAGTGTGTCTGACTCACAGTGGCATGAAACATCCATACATATGATTCTCACTGTGGTATCCTATTCAGTAAATTTCATGAGACAATCAACACTTTCTTCTAAAACGGGCTTTGTGTCGATGGTTTGGCTACCCATAGGCTGAAGGCATATTTAAGGTGGGCTAGGCTGAGTGGGTAAGAAACGCATATTGAGCTACTTGGTGGGTATATTCAGTTTTTGTCAGGTTTGCTGGGATGTAACCCCACTGTAAGTCAGAGTGTAATTACTCTTCAGTCTGATTCCTTGTGTTGAGCCACGTGGATAGACCTGCCTCTGGGGGAACAGAGCGCAGCCGACTTTAGCTGTGGAATGTCTGTTTAAATGTTTTATGCATATGAAGATGCAGGCTTATGCTTTGGGATGGGTGGGAGAGCCCACAAATGGGCCATAAGAAACAGGAGACTAACAAGTAAATGAATTTTTAATGTCCAGATGAGCTTGCTGGCCACAGGACTAAATTGCAGAGGTCCTCTAGGGTGAAGAGCCGGAAATTGTCAGAGTCAGAGAGGACATTCAAGCCTGGTAGCCCTCATCTCTCTCGGCCCCAGTTCAGCTCTTCATAGCAGGTTTTCCTCTGTGTAAAAATCATTCTTTATTTCAGATTGTATGTGGTAACAGTTTAGAATCCATGCCCTTGGGCCACACGTATTCAGGCTGGGAACACCATGCTCTGTCCCCACTTGGGACCTTGGGTGGGTCACTAGGATCCTGTGAGACTGGGTTCCCTCTCCTCTGGATCAGGGAACTTGCTACCAGCAATCTCATGGTTGGCTGGCTTTGTGCTAAAGTTAATGAATTCACTTTCTCTGGGACTGGCATAAGGATAGAAGACAGGGCATTGCTTCACTTCTGGATCCCCAGGTGGATTCAGTTGGGAGATGGGTGCTGGCAAGAGTAAATCATCCCTAATAGCCTTGATCTGGAGGGCATAGGACAGTAGCCACTTGGGGCTTGCCTCAGCTTCATATGAGTTTGGCATGATAAAATCACTAAGTAAGTTAATCACACTCCTACTTGGAGTGTCAATGTGTTACATTAGGCTATGTAACCTTGACTGTCTCCCTAGGCCTCTCTGAACCTCAGGGTTACTTACCTGCGAAAGGGGCACAGACCCCTTCTAGGTCAGGATGTTGATGCCTATCATATGACTGGCACTCTCAGAACTAGTTTCCTCATGGTAAGATGGGACTCACCTTAGTATCTCCTGCAGCTGTGGGGCCAGCAGGACCTGTGATGAACAGCATCTGGATGTCATCAAACAGAGCCACTCACGTGGTTCTGGGGGTTTGGACCATCCTCTAACATGTGGAGCCCAGGCTGCCTTCCAACTTGCTACGTAGATAACAATGTCTTCAACTTCTGGTCCTTCAACTTCTCCATCCCCAAGTTACAGGCATTCTCAACCTCACCCAGTTTTATGTGGTACTAAGCATAGAACCCCAAGGCTTTGTGCATGCTAGTCAAGCACTCTGTCAAATGAGCTACATCCCCAGTCCTCAAATTGGGTTTCTAAGTCACATCTGCTGCCTCTCCCTGCAGTTGTGACAGAGTGGCGTGTAGGTGATAAATGCTGGCTGCTGGCAGATTGTGGAAGAATTTCATGTGTGTCAGGCTTGACCAGAAACTGAATACCTTGCCACAGTCCCAGGCCATGGGCTGCCATGCAATTAGACAGTGCCCTCAATTACTGGTCTTTTGCCCTTCATGAAGATGGTTGTGAGCCACTGAGTAGTAGGTTGGAGAATCTGATTTTTTAAAAGTGTCATTTGTGTATAGGAACACAAATTTTCCATGATAATGAAAGAGGCTGTGGATTCATTTGTATAGAGGCCAGTTTGTTTATAAGAAACCCTAAGACTTCTGCAAGGTCCCCCACGGAGGCAGGCGAATCCCCAGGCTTCCAGGAGGCAATGACCTTTGATGTTCTTGTCACATTCATCCCAAGACACCCAGACCCTCATGGTGGAGGCTGCACTCTTGAGAGTGTCCCATCTACAACTCTCTCTCTCTCTCTCTCTCTCTCTCTCTCTCTCTCTCTCTCTCTCTCGTAGTTTGGAGCTACTCACAAGACTCTCTAGTAGTTTGGAGCTACTCACAGGACTCAGAGAGGTCATAGGGGTGGTGAAAGAGATCCTCTCACATATCTGAGATCTCCTTATTAGCTCTGCCCCTTTCCTCTGGCTCTTTGTCCAGGAGAGCATTCTCCTTGATTGTGAGCTAACTTTGGGACCCATGCCACCCCCCACCTGACTTCTGCTGCCCCTTACATGAGACAAACCTGCTGGGACATAGTGAATGGACCCTGTGGCTGCTGTTTTCCAGCTCTCCACCCACCCTGACTCTCTTGCCCTTTTTCTCAAAGGTTGGGGTTTGGAGCTACTCACAGGACACAGAGGGGTCGTGGGGTGGTGAAAGAGATCCTCCCACATAGCTGAGATCTCCTTAGTAGCTCTGCCCCTTTCCTCTGGACAGGTTTTTGACACACTCAAGGGACAGGGTTTGTCATAGAAAATATGTCAGATTTTCAAAGTGGGTAGGGAGGAAGCCTTACCACTAGAAAGGAAACAAGGAGACTTGCCAAACTGCTCACTAGTCATATGCTTGCTTACCAGCTGATGGGTCAAGTGGCAGCAGACAAGTGATTATACGGGGCCAGCTGCATGCATGTGCAGATTGCAAGGTCAGAGGCCTGACTCAGAGAAGCAGGGGGAGGAGAAAGGGAGAAATGGGCCAAGAGAGGAGGGAGAAAGGGTAAGGGGAGAAGTAAAGGAGGGGATATAAAAAGGGTGCTGGAGGAAGAAAGGGACAGGATTAGGGGAGGGAAGGAGTGAGAAAGGATGGTGGTGGGTAGAGGTAGCCTCTGCCTATGGTTTAAGAGGGAAAGAATCATTTCTCCTATAGGCACTTGAGTCCTTAACCTTACTGGTTTTGAAGGTAACACCGCTTGTGGCCATCTTTTGTGATCTCTGGGTCAGGCCTGCTTGCCCTTGAACTACAGGAACACCAACTGGAAAACTTGAAGGTTGGTAGTGACTCCATAGTTCCTAGGGCCTGAGGGCATATGACCATTTCATCAGTTATGTGTCTTGATATACCTTTTGGGGGGCTGGGATCTTAGTGCATAACTGTGACTTGGACTGGAACATCTACCACCCCAGGTCTCCTCATGTGGCCTGTGCTCCCTGAGGCATCATGACTGGGTTCCTAGGGTGAGGATTCTGATGGAAAGAAGTATCGGGGAGAATGAGAGAGAAGGCAAGCACGAGACAAAGCTGTATTTGTATTGCCTTACAAAAGAAAACCATAGAAACCTCTAAGATTAAAAATATAAGCCTTTTATTTGGAGATCATTATAGATTCATGTGCATTCAGAAATAATACAGAGATGTCCATGCACTCTGCACTCTGATTCCCTCCGTGGTCACCCCTTACAGAACTATGGTGCCATCTTGCAGTCTCCCCAGTTTTGCTTGTCCTCCCTTGTGTGTGTAGTGTGCAGAGCAACTTTGTCATAGCCACCCCACCATCACGACACAACATTCCAGAAGCACAAAACTGCCTCTAACAGCTGTATTTGTGTCTTTCCTGCCTCCTGTCCTGCAACTGCTGATCTGTCCCCCCTTTTTATAATGTTGTCATTTTAAAAATGATACCTAGATGAGATTATGTGATGTGTACTTTGTGGTGTTGGACTCTTACTGTGCATGATGTCCTCAGGCTCATCTGAATTGTGTGTGTCACTACACTCATTTTTAGGTATCCATGGGAAATTAGTTAAGATACACTTTGGTTACAAAAAGGTCCCTTGTATATATTTCATAGGCCTGGTATAGAACCCACCTGTTGCCTCCTGCTTCCTTCAAGTCAGCTCTAGATGACTCAGAATGCAGTGACTGTCTTCGTTAAGATTTCTATTGCAGTGAAGAGATTCCCATCACCACAGCAACTCTTTTAAATATCATTTAATTGGGGTGGCTTACAGTTTCAAAGGTTTAGTCCATTGTCGTCATGGTACAACATGGTGGCATGCAGGCCGACATGGAGCTGGAGAAGTAGTTGAGTGTTGTACATATTGACTCTCAGGCAATAGGAAGTGATTTGAGACACTGGGAAATATCTTGAGCATTTATAAAACCTCGAAGCCTGCCTCCACAGTGACACACTTCCTCCAACATGACTACACTTACTCCAACAAGGCCACACCTCCTAATAGTGCCACCTCCTTTGAGGGCCATTTTCTTTCAAACAACTGTAGTGACAAATGTGATAAACTTGTTTTACTATGCCATGTTTAGGGAAGGGCAAGAAAGAACAGTCAATGTGTTTGCTTGTGTGACTGATCCGGTTACTCTGCAACCTCACTGGCTTTCTATATGATGCCGGTTTTCACACTGAGACTGCAGTGGCACATTCTTGCATGGTCCATGGTTTTTCTGGAATGGCTGACAATGCTGAGCATTTCGTGTGCTTATTTGGCATCTGTGTGTCTCTTAAACTGCCTGTTCATGTCTTTTTGCTCATTTCTCAGTTGGGTTTCACGTAGTCTTTCTATGTTTTAGATACAACTTCTTTGTGAGATATGTGGCTTAGAAATATTTTCCCCAGTCAAACCTTGTGTTTTCATCTTCTTTGTAGTATCTTTCATTAAGAAATGGATCATGAGATTAAGTAAAATATTTCAGACTTTAAAATTTTACAAAAACAGGCTGGGTATGATGGTGTACACCTTTAATCTTAGCACTAGGGAGGCAGAGGCAGGCAGATTTGTGTGAGTTGGAGAGGCCAACCAGAGCTACCCAGAGAAACCCTGTCTCAAATAAAGTAACATAAAACTTTATAAAAACAAATAGAAAAAAACCTTGGATTTGCATTTAAGAGTTTTTAGATACCAAGGGTATATCCCACCGGAGGAGTGACAACCATGGTCTGAATATGGTAGGACTCCACAGGTTATTTAAATATGGAGTTCTGGGGGTCAGCCAAAAATGGCCTAGTGTATGTCTGTTTCTAAGAGTTTCTTCCCTTTCTAAGGATTAAGAATATACTCATGACAAACCAGCTTGGGGCCTGGGATGGTTGGACAAGCAACTCTGACACCAAGCTCCAGATGTGACTCTGATGGAATGGTGGAGAGCTGAAGGGACACCAGATGAGAGTGTAGGAGGTATAGCCTTTGGGTGGTGTCCTGTGACTCACAAGGAGGTCCACTCCACATGGCCTGCGAGATGCTGTGGTCTGTTCTCTGTTGTCTCACTGGCTGTGCTGCTCCTCAGTCCCTCGGAATTACTTCTGCACTGCAGCCACACAGACTAGTTTGTCATTTGCTCAAAACAGCCTACTGCCTCTGTCTTAGCTCTTTCTGTTCTCTGTTCCTGAGAATGTCTTACTGTCCTCTGTAGGCTTATCAGGATGTCACCTGGTTCAGACCCTCCTGCTTCACCTCGAGGCTGCATCAGCTTATTATTTTCTTCCTCTGTGACTAGGTCCACCACAGAATTTCAGAGTTGCGCATTTATCTGTTTCTCCAAGAGTGAGCTGCACCTAGGTATCTTCACAGCCAGCACACAGCAAGCTCTCACTACATGCCTGTGAGGTTTGGGGTGTAGTACAAGGCACTATTAAAATGCAAGTCTCTATTAGCGATAAGAATGGTTGCAGTAATTACCTTATGATCTTGGTCTCCCAGAGGCTGGTGGTTTGTTTATAGGGCTCCTGTCTGCCTGAAGGGCCTCTTGCGTGCTGGTTAGAAATGGATGCTGATTACAGACAATTGGATTCGTGTCTGAGCAGAGTTTTTGTTTCTCTGTTCCATTCAAATGTGTAGAATGAAGGTTAGGCTCTGTTCAACCCATTATGGTGATGTTCATAAACTGAAATTTGTCCTTGGAGTTTCTTGTACACAGGCCCTCCATTCTACCCCTGTTCTTAAGCATTGTCCTCTGAGACACACCTATCTTGACCCTTCTTTGTGGCAGCTATGATAAGTAGCAATGATCAGGGTTTGAGTTTAGCAGTGTTTTAGCAAGGGTAGAGGGCACATAGTTAGCACAAGGAGAACCTGTTTATGCTATGGTAGTTTGGGATGTGTGTTGAGTGAGAAAGGACCTAAGAGGGGCAAGGTCACAGAAGGAGTATGTACTTTGTCAGTGGGAGGAAGACCTGACAAAGGTATGCGGGTCATGGAGAGGGGGCTGTGCACTTTATCAGTAAAGGTAAAGGACCTAAGAGAAGTGTGGGAGTCACAGAGGGGTTGTGTGTATGTCATTAGGAGGTCATGGAAAAAGCATGTATGCCATTGGTGGAAGGAAGATCTGGCAGAAGCATGGGGGTGTATGCACTAGATCAGTGGGAAGTTACAGATGGGTGTGTGTGCCTTAAGTAAGTGGTCATGGAGGGGTGTGTGTGCCATCAGTAGTGGGTAATGGAGGGAGGTGTGTACCATCAGTAGGAGGTCGTGTGTGTGTGCGCGTGTGTGTATGTCATTTGTGGGAAGTCACAGAGGGGTGTATGTGCCATCAATGGGAAATCATGGAGGATATATGTGTGTCATTAGTGGAAGGCCATGGAGGGTGTGTAGGGCATCAATAGGAGATCGTGGAGGGGTGTGTGGGTCATCAGTGGGAATACGAGAGTCATCAATGGGAGGTCATTAGTGGGAGATCACAGAAGAAGTCATGGAAGCACTTATCCCTGCTCCACTTGCCCACCCTCTCCTTCACTTGGCTGACAGGCTGACTCTCCACATTAGAGGCCAGTGTGAGCATAAAGTGAAGGGAGGGCTTTCTGTCTTCTAGAATAGGTAGCCTGGGAGTGATGGTTACTCAGCCAGCACATAGGCAGCCAGGACCCAGCCTCTCAGGGGGAACAACCCCTGTAAGTGGGGTCTTAGCATTTGCATGGCCAAAAGCATAAAGGTGTTCCCGCAGAAACACAGCTTCAGTTTGCTTTTCTATCCCCCAAAACACTGAGTTTCTAACGTATCTGGGTCAAGAAGGACATTGCAACTGGAAGGTGAGGATGGGCCCAGTGTCAGCCCTGGGTCCAAACACTCAGATTCAAGATTGAATAAACTTGATCAACAGCCAGGGAACCCTGCTTGTCTTGCAAGTAAGAGAGACAACACTTGACTCGCCTTTCCTTCTGTTAGCAGGGCTGTTAGGGGCAGAGCCAAAGCTTTGGAACCCAAAAAAATGAGTCGGGCCACTCATTCTCCATAGGACAAACAAGAAACAGCGAAAAGGATAGTAAATGGGTTTCCTAAATGTGACTATACTGGGACAGGTGACAAAGAGATCCAATAACCACCTTCCTCTCAAGTCCATCTTCAGGGACCTGACATGAGGTTTAGTTTTAAGCAGAGGGCCAAGATGGTCAAGAAACCCCGGTCAAGGTGTGGATTCACCCATTGCTGACCCATCACTGGGCTCCAGTCTCCTGCAGGTTGGTCTG